GATGTGTTGACATTAGAATGGAAACCCGCAATAGTTTTGAGATGGGGATGTGGTTATGCTACAGGGAATGACAAAATATGGTTACCAACAAAGCTTATACAGACCAGGGAAAACCTCTTATCACCTGAGACATGAAAGTCTTCACAAAGCAAATAGCCCAGCTGATTCACTCTCACAGACTGCCTCAATTACTGATTTTTTCAAAATTCTGCATGGAAGTCATCTTCAAAAGAGCTAGCCCAAAGGACAGGCAACACAGAAACTAGACAGGCAACACAGAAATTGGAAAAACAATACATACACTGGACAGACAACACAGGTAATGGACAGAAAAACATACAGGTGGCTTTCTTGGGACTTGGCCAATATCCCAAATTTTCATAGGGCACCCAAAATATATCTTTGCCTGTATGACTCCCCTATTTGCAAAAGGTGGGGAAGATGTTGTTTGTCATTTAATGTGTTATTTTACTTTAGTATAGCTTAATGTATATTGGTAGAAGTTTATGGTTATTTTGTGTAATTATTGAATAGTCATAAAATTTTAAGCTATTTTGTATTGTATATTGATAAACATTTAAGGTAGGTTTTTTTGTGTGAATTAAGTTATTTCGAATTGTATGTTGATAGAAATTTAAGGTTTTTTGTGTAACTGCTGTATATTGATGGGAATTTAAAGTTATTTTGTTTGACTATTGTTTGATGTATTGTGTATAAGTAGCTCATTTAAAAATATGACGTAACGTTCTAATGTTATGGTTCTCATAACTATTCTTTTTTAAGTAATTTATTTAATTTTTATTTTATGTGCATTAGGGTAAAGGTATGAGATCTATTACAGACGGTTGTGAGCTGCCATGTGGGTGCTGGGAATTGAATCTGGGTCCTTTGGAAGAGCAGACAGTGCTCTTAACCACTGAGCCATCTCTCCAGGCCCTCATAACTATTCTTTTTTTTTAAATTTATTTATTTTATGTATATGAATGCTCTGTTTTCACACATACCAGAAGAGGGAATCAGATTCCATTACAAATGGTTGTGAGCTACCACGTGTTTGCTGGGAATTGAACTCAGGTCCTCTAACAGAGCAGTCAGTGTTCTTAACCACTAAGCCATCTCTCCAGCCCCATAACTCTTCTTATTGTGTGTACACTGTTAATGTTAAAGGAAAGACCTTTAAAAAAACAAAACAAAAAGGGGTATATGAAGTGGAAGTTTCTGGTTTCTTTGAAGACTCCATTGAGTCATAAGTTGTTTTGCTAGAAGCTGTCTTATGAGAGGGCATGTGATGTTTTGCTGTGAGCTCTCTTGTGTGAGGAACGTGATTCTAGGGAGCTGAGAACATCCATGGGTGGACTCTAAGGAGAGGAGATATATAGAAGCCCATGGACAGTGAGACATCACTTTTTTGGATCGACATTGCTATGCTGATCTTCGTGCTTCGACACTTGACTTCACAAAGAGAAAGCTCCAAAGATCTCAGGGGAAATCCAGCTCAGTCTGTGGCTTTTGCTGACTTATCCTGATCTTCTGAATCGTGCTGATTCATGTTGCTTCTTGGTGATGGCCTTTGGACTGGATTACTGGTATCCAGACAATGAAGAGTGGACTCATCCCAAGCAACTACTTCTAAAGAGGTCTACAAGCCCCTTTCCCTAATAACCTTCTTCCTCCCCTACCTGTCGGGAGCTGTGACTCCAGCGGCCGGCTTTGATATTTAAATCTCGGTGGAGAGATGGCTTTTAGCAGGCCTTTACTAATGGCAGAGAAGAACTTGCAAGTCCATCTCCTTTTGTTTGTGACAGCAGGTGGGATAGCTTGTGAGGGTCACACCTCTTCCTCAAGCTCCTTGTGCAAATTAACCTATTGTTCTGAGATGTTTTACTGGCTAAAAGTAACTCCTGACAATAAAAGAGGTCAGAGGGCTGGAGGCAGAGGAGGAGGCAGAGACTTGAGACTTGCTGCTTGCTGCAGCAGCCTGCCTTTTGCTGTGGCTGTCGAGTCTGGACCTTTAAAGAAGGTTTCCTGTGTGCTGTGTGTTTATTTTATTAATATTAATCCTTACTCCTGACTCAAGAACCGTTTGACTCTGCTGGCTGGCTCCGGCAGATTGGCGCCCAATGTGGGGCTTGAGATACAGGGATTCAGTGAAGGACACCGCAGTGCAGTGTTTGGCGAGCTCGCATTAAATAGAAAGGGTGCGGTGAGTAAATCCCAGAACAAAAATGGGACAAGGCATTAGCCTAGTGTTTTCTTTATGGAACTTAATTAAAGGTAGTCTGTATAAGCAACAGGAAAGTGAGAAAGCTAAACTTTCAGGCTCAGAGAGAAGGAGGTTAGAAAGATGGCAGGCTTCAAGAGAAAATGATATTATACCATCAGCTCCTCCAGAGGAGTTATATTTCCCTTCTGATGACAATAATTTCTTGCCAGAAGGAGACTTTGAGGAAGACTTACATCCAAATGAGGTTGCAGAGTTGGAGGAAGAACCACATCAGCACTATTCTGAGAGATACCCTCCTGTTCAGGCTATGCATGTTAAAAAGCATAAGCCTTGGCAAAAAGAAATTAAAAGACTGGAGTATGGTTTGGAGGAAATAAACAGAAAAATTGGAGCATTAACTACTAGGGAAAATGAAGCTCAATCTCCCACTCCAACTCCATCATTGGTGGAAGGCTTAGGCCCTCCTCCTGGGAATGCTACAGTTTCAATGGCCCAGAAGGCAAGGGGACCTTTCCCTTTGTCCACTGTATGAACATCTGTATCTGCTTTACAAGCTTCTTTACAAGAAGCCAGGCAGAATGGAGAAGACGTATCTGAGTTTTATAGTTTTCCAGTTCTGGAGCAACCCGATGGACACAGTAATATGGTGAGAGTCCATGCTCCTATACCTTTTAAACAGATAAGAGAATTAAAATCTGCATGCTCCCAATATGGACCTACAGCGCCTTTCACCCTAGCTCTGCTGGAATCCATGTCTACTGAGGCTCTCTGCCCAGGGGACTAGAAACAGTTAGCAAGAGCATGCTTATCAGGAGGAGATAATTTATTATGGAAGTCAGATTTTTCAGAGCATTGTCAAGCTACAGCTGAACTTAATTGAGCTCAGCAAATTCCTATAACTTATGACATGCTTGCTGGAGAAGGAATCTATAGGGAAATAGGACAGCAATTGGATTTTGATGTGGCCATTTATGCTCAGGTCAATACTGCTGCCCGGAGGGCCTGGAATAAGCTTCCACAAGCAGGTAGACAGGTGGAGGATTTGTCTAAAATCTGTCAGGGACCTGATGAGTTATTTCAAGATTTTGTGGCAATCTAATGCAAGCAGCAAACAGACTTATAAGTGATGAAAAGTCTGGATTGTTATTAGTGAAACAATTGGCTTATGAGAATGCTAACAGTGCTTGCTGCAGCAGCCTGCCTTTTGCTGTGGCTGTCGAGTCTGGACCTTTAAAAAAAAAGTTTCCTTTTGTATACAGGAGTGCTCCTGATTTTTTTGAGTTAATTTTGTATCCTGCCACTTTGCTGAAGGTGTTTATCAGCTGTAGGAGTTCCCTGGTAGAGTTTTTGGGGTCACTCATATATACTATCATATCATCTGCAAATAGTGATAATTTGACTTCTTCCTTTCCCATCTGTATCCCCTTGATCTCCTTCGACTGTCTTATTGCTCTAGCAAGGACTTCCAGCACTATGTTGATCAGAAAGAAGAGGAGAACCTCCCCTATCAGTGGACTTGGGGAGTGGCATGCATGCAGAAAGGGGAGGGAGGGTGGGATTGGGAGGGGAGGAGGGAGGGGCTTATGAGGGGATACAAAATGAATAAAGTGTAATTAATAAAAAAACAGAAAGAAAAAAAAGTTTCCTGTGTGCTGTGTGTTTATTTTATTAATATTAATCCTCACTCCCGACTCAAGAACCGTTTGACTCTGCTGGCTGGCTCCGGCACTACCTTTAGTCAGTAGGAACCCTAAATAAAGTAGGGTTGGTGAATAATCTAAGCCTACAGCAGTTGTACAGCAGTACAACACACACACATTCTGTCTGTTAAAGACAATGCATTTAATGGGAGCAGTGTAAATGTACTCTAAATAGGTGTTGATAAAAGTAAGTTTCAAGATTTTGAGTTTAAGATGAAATCTCTAGCACTTATTTTCATAAAATTAAATCTTTCCTGGGGCCTACAAAATGGCTCGGTAGAATTTAATATGGAAGAGAAAAAAATAATCAGATAGTACTTCTGAAAATATCTACAAACTTGAAATTGGCTTTAGTGTTTTTATATTTATTGTGTGTGCAAGCTCACCTGCACACACGCCATGAAATTAGAAGACAGATTATGAGGAGTTGGTTGTCCTTCCACCATGTGAGTTCTGAGGCTTAAACTCAGGTTGTCAGGCTTTATGGCAGGGATCTTTACCCAGGGAGCCATTTCAGGGGCCCATGAAATAGGTTTTAAATACACAACACTATCATGGTTTATATTTTCACCTATTTTTGAGGTAGATAATGGTGTTTTTAAAGTTAAAGCTAAAGGAAAAAATATATCCTAATAGATGATCTAAATTGTTTCTTCCCAAGAGTAAAGCAAATTCAAAATATTCTGTTCCTATATTCTTAATATAGTTTCAATAAACCGTTTAACACAAAATTCTCTTAATAATACCTCCTAGGAACCTACTAAATATCATGAACTTTCCTTAGAAAGTTCTTCTTTCTAAGGAACTTTCACACCATTCACAAATCCCTTTTGTGAAAAAGAACTAAAATGAAACATGTGCCACTGAAGTCTTTGCTCTGTGTATGCCTTGGAGAACCCTCCTGAGGTCTCTCCTCCATGTGCTCCCTACAGTGCTGTGCTCCTTCACCCCTCTGCGGTTGCTTGCTATTGTGTACTTCTCTGCATATTAATTTTTCAAATACTTCCAAATAGCAACTTGTACTCTTTTCAGAAAACTTGAAATGAGAGTACAAGACATGGCTGACAACCACGTACCTGACAGAGGGTGGTCTTGGCCTGTGGTCCCTGGAATCCATCACCCACCCAAAGGGAGACTCTAGAAGGGGGGTTGTGCCTTGACTTGTCTTCCTCTTTTGTGGACTCTAAAGAAAAAAAACTCAAACATTGCAATTTCTTTTGGTAGTATAAACTTCACAAGTAAATTGAAACCCTCTGGCTGCAAACCAACTCATACATTTTCACCCTGCAGATGGCACATTGTGAAATCACATGAAGTCACAAAACCCAAATATCTCACATACAAGTTACAAAGCTTAACATCAAGGACCCTGACTTGGTTTGAATACAAGACTAAAGGAAATCAATGCAGAATAATCCACTACACTGTGATTGTCTTTAACTACTCTGTGAAAAGAAGATACTTCTCAGGCTGAGAACATCACTATGGTAAATAATATTTTAAACAGAATTGTTCTAGTTTAAAAATGACGTCTTAAAGGCCTTCTCTTGCACTGTTAGAGGACATACAATGCAGACCTCATATTCCTGGGTGTTGTATCTTTATGTTGATGGCGCTTGGTTCTTTGATGACAGGATAAAATCTTGGTGTTTTCTTTGGATCTTGTAGTTGGGGCATTTGAGGTGCTCTGTGAGTCCCTGCAGGATGAATCCTGGGAAAAGCAGTAATTGCAGAGGGCATTGTGCCAGCCACTGTGCTGAAGTCATTTCTGAAAGAACAAACAGCTTCTAAGCTCATTCATCAGTCAAGTCTGCAACATGGCTCTTTAAGTGATTTAGATGCTAAGAAAATATTTTGCCTTGAGAGTAAAGACAAATCTGAAAAACTCCAGGCACAAGAGTTTTTCATTGAAATGTTTCAAGTATCTTAAAAAGAATTTAAAAAAATACTCAGTAATTAACTGTTGCCTAACAGTTTAACAGTTTTACACCATTCTGTTCTGTTTTATAGTGAACGGGCAAGATGGTTCAGCAGGTAAACATACCTTCCACCGAGGCTGAAGACCTGAGTTCTGTTACAGAATGAATGTTGTGCAGGGAGAGAGCAGACTACAGCAAGTTGTCTTCTCACCTCCATATGTGTGCTGTGGGGTGCGCACACCCATACTCATGCACAAATACATAAATAACACAACTTTAGAAGGAAGGCTTACACCCCTATCTTCATTTATAATTCCATTTCCTTCCCGCCTGCCCCCCTCAGAGATAACCAAACTCTTAAACTCAGTATTCTAATGTTAATACAAATATACAACAATATTATTTTTCCTATTTGATTATATATAAAATTACACTTTATGTATCATTCTCAGGTCATTTGTACTTTACTCATTTGCCAATCTTGCATTTCTGTACTGAAGAATATGTCATTATATAAACATATCAAATCTACCCATTCTCCTACTGTTTAGACATTTGTTTTTTTCCAAGGTTTTGGCTAATCAGCAATACTACACCAATGTTACTGAAAATGTCTCTTGAACTGGTGTACCTTTCTCTGGGGTTTATATGAGGACACGCCATCAAAGCAGATCTTCTGACTTTCTCAAGGCTAACTTCACCATTCTACAGTAGGTTTGTAGCTGACACTCCCACCAGCAAGCAACACTACAGACTTCTGCCAATTTCACATCCAAGTCAAAACCAGCTTTTCTTCAGACTTAAGCACTTTCCCATTATAGGATCTGAATGCTGTTTGCATTTCCTGGGTAGTTACAGTGATCTCGAGCATGTTTGCATACACCTACTTAAACTTTCAGAATTCCCCTTCTGTGAGTTTATCACTGACTTCTATTGAGCTGTTTGTCTTGTTGACTTGTTCATAAAACTCTTAAGGCAAGAAAATGGCCAGAAAATGACCAGAAAAATGGACCAAGAAGCAGAAACATTCAGGCTCTATTTCTGTGTTTCCTGTGATTCTCACATAACCTTTTTTTCTTTCATTCCATAAATACTATCAAGTACTTGCTATCTGCACATACTTGTGTAGGTCTAAGTCTGTCACTTGACAGCTGAACTTACCCATGTGCCACTTCTACTCCAGTGATTTCTCTCATGTTCCCATGAGACCTGCTTCTGCTCAGAACCCTGCAGTGGAAAAGCCCATCTTTGCTGATTTGTTCCATCTATTGCTATGGTCCACATTAATGGTGGTTTCCCAAACAGTTGTCCTGCTTCCTTGATGCACAGATTTTCACGTGTATTTCCTACTCTCTGAAAGCCCCGTCCTTCACATTGTACATAACCAGTTGTCCCTGTGTCTTTCAATGCCCAGCACAGATGTTGGGCACATGAGACAACACTTCTTGAGCACCTCCTGCCAGTAGGGTGAGTACGTCTTGTGTCCTCTGTACTTTATCCATTTGTTGCTTTTGTTATAGCCTGGATACCTCCCAGAGACCCAGGTATAAACAGCTTGATACTAAGACTGGCATAATTAGAAATGGTGGAAACTACTACAGAGGTAGAGCTTAGTGAAAGTCAGGTCACATAGGGACAGAGGTCCCTTTTCTTTCTTCACAAGCTACCACCACAGGTCCAAGTGACAATGGACTGGATTCTTAAAACTCTAAGCCAAAATAAACTTATAAGTTTCTCAGATATTCTGTCTTAGTACTAGAAAACTGAGTCATAGTTTCATTTAGCCCACTAATGTTCACTCTTATCTGTCATCTCATTAGATCCCTGAAAAAGCAGACACAGTCTCATGGAGTACCAGCGTCTGTTATAGTGGCTCTCAGAAGGAATGCTAAACTTAATTCAAGTGCGTTTGTGCTATTTTACATCTGTCAAAATATCACAGAATCTTGAAAATAATAATGAGCAGATACTAGAAAAATGAGAAATAAAGCACTAAGGTGAAAGAAATACCAAACATCTGGAATCAACAACCTGGGCAATGATCTCTGGGTCTGAGTCCCACTTGAACAGCTGGGTTTGCCCAAGGAAAAATGTCTGAAGTAATGTACAACATAAGCCCTGGAAATCCTGAGCCTAGGACCCAAAAACACTAAATTATTAGAAACATATTAGTAGGAAATAAGAACATACTTAAATAATAATAACAAAGGTCAAAGGACAGGGGAGAAGTTTAGGAATCCCACCAATTAGCAGCAATATGACAACTAAAAACAGTGGCTGAAACAGATTACCAAGAAGCAGATCATGAATTCCTTGAGTTTACAGTGAAACACTAAGACTCAGTTATTTTCAAAGGTTGCTGGTATACCAACTTAATATTTTGAAAATCGATAAATTGAGTCACAAGAAACAAAGGTTTGTCACTTACTTTCCTATAAAAATTTAGTTTCAAATTAAACAGTTTTCGTTGTGAGACAGTCTCACTATGTAGCTCTGCTTAGTCTGAAATTCCCTACAAAGAACAGGTTAGCCTTGAACTCAATAGAAATTTGCCTGCTTCTGCCTCTCCAGGGCTGGATTTAAAGATCTTTTTAACCAAATAATTCTGTGTGGAAAACGCAAAAGAACTTGACCAAAGTGGAGGGTCTAGGAAATTTTCATGAAGGACTACTATTAAAGGCCAAGGAGAACCTGTGTCTGTTAGCCATCATCATCCTGCAACAGATGAGGACATATTTCCAGAAAAATGATGCAAAGTGAGACCGAGTATAAAGTACCTGAAACAAACAGATGATGAAAGCTAGTGAGATAAAGAAAGAATGTCAAACTACTACCATCCATCAAAATCAGGTGAGACTGGCACATGGCATCCCTTATACAATCTCCTACATTTTATCTGTATCTGAATATTTCAAAAATCAAATGATAAGGCCTTTTAATTACATTTATGCACCTGAGTGCAGGTGTATGAGGTATGGACTCAGGTGTGGAGGTCAGAGGGCAACATAGGGTCACAGAAGATAAGATTGTTTATTTCATTTTTAAACTTGATTCTAGGGTTAATATTAATTTGATATGCCAGTAGACATAGCAGTTTTATGACCTAAGATCTATATATGTTTTTTAACTCAAAAGAAACATTTTTCAAATTGTATGAACCATTATTTATAATACTTTGTCATAAAATTATAAGATAGTTCATTTCAAATTAAATACTTACAGCCGGCATTAAAATACTATTAAATTAAGCACATTTAGGAACTGGAGTAATGGTTCAGAGGTCAAGGACACCGGCAGCTCTTCCAGAGGACCCAGGTTCAATTCCTAGTACCTACATGTCAATTCAAAATCATCTGTAACTCCATTCCCAGAAGATCTGACACCCTATTCTGGCTTCCACGGGTAGCAAGCACACATGTGGTACATAAACATACACGCAAATCAAACACACATACAGACAATTTAAAATATGCATATATAAATAGAGAAAGCACATATGAACATTTTTATCAACTTCTACCCTGGCAGAATAGATTAATATTAATTCCTGTTAATCAAGACTATAGGTCTTATCATATACATGAATGATCCTAATAGTTTTGTTTAGAATGACAAATAAATATTTATTTGAATAAATATTTGAATAAACAATCCAAATATCCATTAAGTGTTAATCAGACAAACAAAATGTTTATACATACATGGAATACTATCAGTAATAAAAGGGAGCAAAACACTGGTCTGTATAATGACCCTCAGCTGTAAGACTGGCTCGTATGAAGGCCGCCGAATAGCCACTTATAGTGTGATGCACCTATATATTTTCTGGGAAATGAAAAGCCATAGAGAAGCAAGTATGCAGCTGCTGCCAATGACTGAAGTCAAATGCTGACATCACCAGCAGTGAGTAAGAAGAAACGTTCAGCACGATGGCATTGCTACATACTGGCAGGGTTGCTGATGTGCAACCACAGCATACACTGAAAATCAAATAATAGCCTTAAAGTGGTTAAATTTTTAATGATATGTAAACTATACTTGAAAAAGCTATAAAACAAATCACCCCATCTGCTCTTCAGAACACCATGCTATAAGCCATCTATCATCCATCCAAATTTTGATAAAAGCTTATGAAGGAATAATATTTTATAAGCTAAATAGTGGCTAGCAAAATGTGGCCCTAACAGCACCCGGAAGAAAGCTCGCTAGGGATGTGCATTCCCAGATCTCACCTACAACTTACTGAACTGGGGGCTTGATGTGGAGCCCCATTTGAACACATTTCCCAGCGAATAAACAACACTTGCTAAACTTAAGGGACCACTGAGCCTACTTTTCCACAAGTTGAGATTTTCCAAATTTTACCCCTCCCAAATCAAAGCACAGCCCAGTGTGATCCCTTCCCACACTGCTGCTACCCATGCATTGGCTTGTACAACAGCAACACCATATTCACGAGAGCCAGAGACTTCAAAGGTTTTATGTTCGTCTGGTTTTAAATCAATAAAGATGTCACTAAACCCAAGTTCAGCAAATGCCAATGTGTAAATATTTTTGGCTTGTTGGGTCAAGTGACCTCTGTTGAAAGAACTCAGGCTTTGCGTCTGCAGCATGAAAATAGCTTTTAGTCCTAATAATGGAAGGTATGACCAGCTAACAGGTTCACAGAACTCCAGTTAGAGTTCACCAGTGAGAATATGCTGAGCACGGACTGAACCACAACAGCAGGTCACACCTGGCTTGGACTTTGCTTGTTGGTTTGTTTATTTTTAAGTGCTGGGTGGTCATGGAGCATGCCTTTAGTTCCAGGCAGGTGGATCTCCTAAGTTTGAGGCCAGTATGGTCTACAGATCAAGTTTCAGGATAGTCAGGGCTACACAGAGAGACCCCGTCTCAAAATGACAAACAAACAAACAAACAGCATGAGGAACCAGACAAACTTGTACAGTAGAAAACCACAGTTCCTAAGACTTAAGAACATGAAGTAATACCCTAAAGAAGAAAGGACGGGTGAGTGATGAAAATACATGACTGGGGGCTGAGGATGGAGTAGGTCATTAGTGAAGGAACAGCTGTTTCAAAACAGCCTAACTTATACATAATTGGAGTCTGCAGAGAAAGGAACAAAAAATATTTTTTAATTAAATTAAAAAAAATTTTTTGTTGACTGGGTCTTGTTATGTAACCCACACTAGCCTGAAAATGAAGACCTTCCTTCATTAGTGTCCTGAGTACTGGGGGGACAGAATACTTATCACACCCAGCTTCATTTAATTTTTTAACTTGAAATCATGGAAGTTTCCTAAGATTTATTTAAAAAAAATAATTAGAATTATGTAGAAAGAATTCAATGGCCAGCACTCGGGAGGCAGGAGCAGGCAAGTCTCTGTAGAATGCTCTACATAGCAAGTTCCAGGCCTGGCTCAAAAAAAAAAAAAAGTTAAATTAGTTTAAATACAAGAAGTATGAGGCTGGAAATATGGCTCAGAGGTTAAAAATACTGGCTGTTCTTCAAAAGGTCCTAAGTTAAATTCCCAGCAACCACATGGTGGCTCACAACCATCTATGAGATATGGTGCCCTCTTTTGGCATGCAGGCACACACACAGGCAAAACAGTGTACACATAATATATATATTTAAGAGTGCAAGAAATACAAAAAAGGAAACTATGGCAATTATACCTAAATGTCTTTAAATGGGTTATAAAATAATTTAAAAGGAACCAGGCAAAAGCAATAGAAATTGTCCAATCTCAACAGAGAAAACCAATTAGAAAACATTTGCAGTGCTTCAGGTAATTCCCACGAAGCCATCCTGATGACAGCGTACTCCAACTGGATGTGATTGAGAGCGCACAGCTGCCATCCGCCACTGAGGAGGCTGAAACAGAAGGACCACCTTAAGGCTAACCTGTGCTACACTGGCAGATGCTGCCTTGATAGAAGATAAGGAAAGCTAGAGAGAAAAAAATATCATCTGCACTGAACATGAGACTGAATTTCTGTGACCAAAATCAGGCAAGCAAAAGAGAAGTGGCCCAATGGTTTAAAGTGCTAAAAGAAAGAACTTTTGACCCAGAGTTTTACATCCAGTGAAACCACAGGAAGTACTAGCAGATAAGGGAGAATTGAGAGAAACCACCAAATGCCCTTAGAGAGTTGCTAAAGAAAGGACGTTAGTAAATAAGGCAATGATACCAAAAGGAGACTCAGACCACCCCCATGTTTAATAAGTAAAAAGCACAAGGTGTACACCGCCCAATGGGTTTTTAATTGTATGAAGATGTAGGAGGAAAACTATTGTGTAAAGAAATACATGGGAGGGGGCTGGAGAGCTGCCACTGCAGTTAGGAGCACTTACTGCTCTTGTGGGGACCAGGTTCTGTTCTCAGCACCCACATGGGTGGCTCCAAAAGATCTGATATTCTCTCTTCCCCCGACAGGCACCTTCACAACATGGTGTACACACACATGCAGGGAAAACAACACTCATGCACTCACAATTCTGTTGCAGAAATAAATCTTTTAAAAAATAAATAGACGGGGAGACAGTGAGATGACTCAATGTGTGGAAATATTTGCTGTTCAAACCTGACAACCCAAGTTCAATCTCTGGACCCCATGTAAAAACAAAAAACAAAACCCAGATTACCCGTACTCTTAAGATGAGATAGGAGATAGAAACCAAAGAATTGTCTAGAAGATGGCACAGAACTAGCCTAACCTACAAAGGATGGCAGAAATAAGAGATACTTGATCTCAAGAGCAAGGTGAAAAGAACCAGTTCCTGAAAATTGTCCTCTGACTGGCCTCTCCCCTATGTGTCATGGCATGCATGTGACTCTAGACACATATCAATCTCCCTCCCTCTCCCCCCACACGCAGAGGGAGAGGGGAGAGAGGGAGAGATTAGAGAGATGAGTCTGTGGGGGAGAGACAGAACAAATGGGGGAAATTATTGCAATAGTAAAATAATGTTGCCCATAACCTATGAAAAGTTGTTTCACAAATGCTAGAGCAACCACTAAAATCATTAAACACACACATAGTCTAAATTCAAAATAAATTAAAAAAAATTACAAATAACCAACAGAAAGTAGAAAAGGGGAAACAAAAGCAAACAAAAGTCAGGAAGCAGAAACAAAGAAAAACATAAACCTGATATTAAGCTGAGAGAGAGAGAGAGAGAGAGAGAGAGAGAGAGAGAGCAACTGTATACATGCATTAAGGTGAAAAGAAAGTGGAATCAGGACAGAGGAGGAATTGAAGGCGAAGTAATGGGGGTGGATTGGATCTAAACACTTTATATCTATGTATGAAAAATAAATAAAACATTAAATTAAAAATGTAACCACAGTCAGGCACAGTGGTACACGTCTCTTAATCCTAGCACTCTGGGAGACAGAAGCAGATGGATCTCTGTGAGTTCAAGGCCAACCGGGTCTACAATGTGAGTCCTAGACAACCAGAGCTACACAGAGAAACTCTGTCTCAAAAAGAAAAACAAACAAAAAATGTAACCTCAAATCTCAACATATTTATTATATTAAAAGTATGTCCCCAGAATTTGGGAAGGCAGAGGCAGGTGGATCTCTGAGTTTGAGACCAGCCTGGTCAACAGAGTAAGTTACAGGACAGCAAGGTTACAGAAAAACCCTGTCTCAAGCAAACAAACAACAAAACAAACAAACAAAATAATTAAAAGTAAGCAATCTAAATATGCTGACTAAAAGGCATTAACAGATTGAAAACAATTTTACTTCAAATATGATACAGGAAGTAAAAAAATATTAAAATATATATCACACACCATAAAAAATAATCAATAAAAGCATGGAGTAGCTTGACAAAATCAGAAAAACTAGATTCCAGAGCAAAGAGAACTACCACAAATAAAGAATGATAAAACATATCAATAGGAGAGTCAAATTCACTGCCAGACACAATGATCTATGTATGTAATGCATCTGACAGAAGAGCTTCAGAAACACAGAATAAAGCAAAAGTGCCTTCACCTTATCCTCAAAAATAAACATAGCAATAAATAAATAAATAAATAAATAAACATAGCAAGCAGACAGAAAAGCCAGTTCATCAATACCAACAGCCAACTGAATCAAAAAGATACCATAGAACATTCCACTGAACACAGCATGGAACTCGAGTGGGGAGTGATTTCAAAGCATCTGAGAGGGCTTGGATTTAACCACCAGAACACATATGCATACACACAAGTTACACTTTCATGGCTATAAAGTCACTGAAATAATGTAAAATATATTCTTTATAATGAAATTGAACTATACAAAATAAGACTGGTATGAAAACAATAGAAAAACTTCCAATTGTTTGGAAACCAAATAACACATTCCTAAATAAAGATAAAAGCTGAAATCTTAAAATATTCTAGAAATCATTACAAATGAAAATTAATAATTATATCAACATTTGTGGCTGCAGCTAATGTAGTATTGGAAAGAAAATAAAGCCTACACTTGGTAATTTAAATTTCTTCCTCAAAAAATGTTATGAAAACCCTCAAATTAAGAAATCTTTAAAAACCTATTGAAATAACTGATAGGTCAAAACATTTTTAATTACAAAATATTAGGAACTGAATGAAAATAAAAAGCATATTTTGCAATTTGTGAAATGCATTTTGCTTAAAAGGAAACTTGCAGCATTGGGTGCTGTCAGCATAAAACTCAGTCCCACTGTCCACTCCAGCTCATGCCAAGAACAAAACAAACCATGCCAGGACAGAGAGAAGGGAGCAAGAGCAGAAACTAATGGGACCTCAAGAAAGAGCAAAATAACTCAGAAACACTAAAAAGATGAAATTAAGAAGTAACAGGGATGCAGAGGAGACGACCTGCCTCTGGGGACATAAGCTGGGGCACAGCTGGGCCAGGAGAGGCCTCTGTTCAGTTCTCTAAGCTACAAAACAAATGCCAGGAATTTTTTAACCAGCACAGTGGTGCACGCCTGTAGTCTCAGCTTCTCAAGTTGGGATAGCAGAAGGATGGCTCAAGCCAAAGAGTTCAAGGTGAGTCTGGACAAGATAATGAGAATCCCATCTCACAGTAAGTAAGTCATTATATTATTGTGTGTGCAAAAGTTTTAGTGTCAAGCAAATCAACCTTCTATATCAAACTTGTGGGAATAGAAAACAGGTTAAATGTGACCACTGGGACCCAATTTGCAAAATTCAGACAGTGCAAACTTCCTACAACAAACCCCTTTGCTTATCCAATAATGAACTGTAAGACACAGCAGACTTTACTACAAGACATAGCAAGAACTTCTCAACTAGAGGGACTAGGTATTTGCAGCTTACATACATGCTGATTAAGAAAATGCCACTGGGGCCACAGAAATGGTTCAAAAGTGCTTGCTGAACAATCATGAGGACCCAGCCAGAACCCATGTAAATGCCATCTGGGTGTGAAACATGCCTGTAATTCTACCCAAAGAGGTGGAGACAGATCAGAGTCACTTTTTTAACCATATTCAGAAAAAGAATCATCCTGAGTGAGGAGGTAACTCAGACCCAGAAAGACAAACATGGTATGCACTCACATATAAGTGGATATCAGCTGTAAAGTAAAAGATAATCATGCTACAATCCACACAGCCAGAGAGGCTAAGGAACAAAAAGGGCTTAAGGGACGACGTAAGGATCCCTCTGGGAAGGGGAATGTAATAGACTTCACTGGTGGACTGGAGGCGGGTGGAGTTGACAACAGGAGGAATCATGTAAGGGGATACTGGAGGAAATGACTGAAATGGGGGGGGGGGCATTTCGGGATCAAGGTAGAAAGCTCGTGTATTTGAAACTCCATGAAATCGACAAGAGTAGCCCTAGCAAAGAATTCTAGTAATGGGAGACAAGGAGCATGAATTGGCCATCTTCTCTAGCAGGCAAGGCTTCAACTGGAGGGACTGGGACACCAACCCAGCCACAAATCCTCTGACCTATAGTTCATCCTGCCTGCAGAGTGTTCTGGGACTGGAGCCAAGCATAACTGCCATCAGAGACCAGAGGGACTTCATCTAGCAACTGATGGGAGCACATGCAGAGCTCACTGACAAACATTAGGCAGAGACTGGGGAGTCCTGCAGAGGAGCTAGAGGAAGGCTCGGAGGAACCAGATGGGTCAGGGACACCACAAGAACACAGCCCACAGAATCAACTTGACTAGGACTCATGAAGGCTTGCGAGATCAGGGAGCCTGGTGGGGTCTGACCTAGGCCTTTTGCATATATGCTATGGTTGTTAGCATATTGTTGTTCTTGTGGGATTCCTAACGGTGGGAGCAAGGGCTGTCTTTGACTCTTTTGCCTACTTGAGGGATCCTTCTCCTACTGGGATGCCTTGTGTAGCCTCGATGTGATGGTATGTGCCTGGTCTATTGTAGCTTGTTATGCCATGTTTGGTTCACGTCCCTGAGAGGCCTGCTCTCAAAGGCAGGAAGGGGGGTTGGTGGATCTGGGAGAGATGGAAGGTGAGAGGAGGGGAAGAAGGGTAAAATGCAGTCTGTAACTCCAGTTTCAGGGGTTCTTACTCCCTCAAACAGAAACAAAACATCAATGTACATAAAATAAAAAGGAATAAAACATTTGAGAAAGAAAGGAAGGAAAAAAGAAAAGAAAGAGAAAGAAAGACAGACTATAAATAAATTACACTTGCCTGGCAATGTCAGATTCCATTTAGGGCTACTACCTGTATTTGCATTTTCACACAGAGCCGCAGCCTCAAAACAAAAGCGTAAACTCCACAGTGTGTTCTAAGGACAGAATTTTAACAATCATAAGAGAAACATTTCCAACAAACTAAAAAAAACTGCCTCAGATGCACAAAGAACCAGCCAATTTTGAGCAAGCGTGTATCGCTGAGCACTGCGCAGTGCTGGTGCAGTAACAGATGACGCGGCCGTGGTGAGGTTATGTGCCTCGGCTCCAACTAACAGCAATCCCATCGAGGCCTCCTACTGTACAGGACTGCCTCCTGTCAGGTTTGTAGTCAGTGTTTTTGAATTAGTCACAAGTTCATTATAATACGTGCAGTTTTTAAATCCTAGTGTTTCCCAATGCCTAATGCATCCTTTAAAACAATGTTAGAGTACTAGACACGAAAGCAGGTGTGCGCACCTTGCCTGGACTGCAAAGGTGCTACAGGAACTTCTCAGTTTGGCTCAAAAGGAAATTCAGGTGTTAGGTTCTCAAACTGCTATTTACTAATGAGATTTAGCTTCTTAAAGTTCTCAACTCCTTGCTGAAGTAGAATGGAGTAATCTAATTAGTAAACTGGCTAAAAACTGATCAACAAACAACTGATACCAACCTCAAAACAAATGAGCTTTTGAACATGGCTTAACTCTATCATAATAGAGATGTTCTATAAGGAATCTAGCAATATATTTAACAATATTCAAAGATTAAGAGGCATAGAGAACCCTAAAGTATTATGAATATTTTATAATTAAAAACTCTGTAAGAGCATATATACTAGTCATCAGTTGAGCACTTATAGACAGGAGCGCTGGGCATTATGAATTTACATAGTTATCTAAATATGCCTCACCCTTAAGGGATCTTTTATTTAAGTTCAAAAAGAAGTATACACATAAAAACAAATGATTATCAGTTGAAATATAAAGAGTGACATTTGGTATAAGATTAAAGATCACTAGAAAAGTATCATGGGAGAGCTGGGACAAAAAACAATCCCTAAAGGATGAAAAGTTACAGGAGAAGAAAAAACATTCTAAATAGGGATTATAAGCAGACACAAGACACTTAGAAAAGGCACCACATTTATTAGAAAATAATTAGGTAAATGAGAAAATGTGTGTATAACATGGGCAATTAAAGGCCTGTTGAGGAACCTGGAGAGAGCTACTTGAAGTTTTGCTTCTTTTTCTAGTGATGGGGTATGCGTGATGGATGATATACTGAGAAGGGCTGGAGATTCACTTCTAAACCCCTCTCTCAAGCTTGGCAGACAGGGAAGAAGACTGTGAGCCTCCAGCCCACAGGCTCCTCCTCTGACATTATCACGTACGTGTCCGCTGCACTGGTCTGCAAACATGCAGAGCATTACTAGATGCAGAGCCCATTCACTTCTGGAAGGTAGAAGATCTGGAGTGACTGATTACAAGCTGCTACAGGAAGGTTTACCAAACACCACCTAGATTTCGTCCAGGTGGACAATATGCAAAGAGGGCTTAAGTGTTTGTCAGATGGAGGCAAATTAAAAGCATAGTTACAGAGAGTTGTAGAAGTTTGCTCTGAATATCTAGCCACTGAATGTCACATCTTCAGTCATTAGTTACTACCAACTGGCATCATCTAAATTCTGTTGGTGTTTTAGATGATCTTGCTTACATTTGAAAGGTCAGTGTGTTGGGGAATTTGAAATGTGGAGGAGATAGGGAAGGAGATGGATGATCTATTTCATGGTATACATATAAGGAGTCTCAAAGAATTAGAAATATATATTTAAAGAGCACCTTAAGAAACTATATTAGTTCCTTACTCTAGGCCAAAATTTCCTCTTCCAAAGCCTTTAATAGGGTCTGGGAGAGTTATCTTAGCATGTGTGAAGCACTGGGGTTCAATCCCTAATACTGGGGAAAAATAGGGGAGGGGTTTCTATGTTGTAGAAGGAAGGAAAGAAGGAAAAGAGCAGTAGATCCCCAAAATCTGGGCACAAGGGTCTTTCCTGAGACTCATACTCCAACCAATTACCATGCATGGAGATATAACCTAGAACCCCTGCACAGATGTAGCTCATGAGAGCTCAGTGTCCAAGTAAGTGGGTACCCTAGTAAGGGGAACAGGGACTGTCTCTGACATGAACTCAGTGGTTGGCTCTTTGATCACCTTCCCCTGAGGGGGGGGGCAGCCTTAACAAGCCACAGAGGAAGACAATGCAGCCAGTTCTGATAAGACCTGATAGGCTAGGGTCTAGGGTCAGATGAAAGGGAGGAAGACCACTCCTATTAGTGAACTAGGAAGGGGCAAGGGAGGGGATGAGAGAGGGTGGGTGGGGGCTACAGCTGGGATACAAAGTGAATAAATAAAAAAATAAAAGGGAAATAAAAAGAAAGAAAAAAGGAATTGTTCTTCATTGTCTGTTCCTTATTGTGGCCCAAAGCTCATTATCAACAAGTTCTAATTCAAGTCAATTCTATGTTTATAACATGGGAGACATAAAAACACAATCAACCTGGATATACCCAGACAGTGTATGTTCTCTGTTATAAAATTTTAAAACAATTGATATAAACTAGATTGGTAAAAAATTAGTTAAGTGCAGGAATCAAAAGTGTCAGTCTAGATAGTAATCAAAACAAGCGTGGGGGCTAGTGATCTTTCTCAGTGGGATAGAGTTTGTCCAGTATGAGTCCTCAATACAGACTCTAAAAGCATCTTCCACGCCCGTACCTAGCACCCTGCTGTCAGCTTCTCCTTCCCCAATGTTAGCCAGGGTGCTGACTTCATCACCATAGATTCTGGTTTGTCATACAAGACTGGGTGACTCACTTGTGTGTATAATAGCTTGCAATGCTACAGACCAAAATCAGTAAGCTATACACAAACCCGGGCAAGGCCAAAGTCTGCTCTCGGCATTAACTGGAACACAAGCACGCCCAGCTGCTTAGTAGGACAGCTTCATCAGTGTGACTGAGAACTGAGTGGTTGCCATAGACAACACATGACACTCTTTCACCTCCATCCCATCCCACTGTACAAATACACAATTCCTTTTAAGACTTGTTGCACTGTTACTATCTAGTCCTCTCAGCATTATGGCGACCACAACTAAGTTGCTATAAAGTATGTGTTTAAGAACATCTTTTTTATGAGCTGCTCCTTAATTTTAAGAAAAAATGCTAAACTGTTTTCTAGGTTGCCATCCACACCTCACCGGCAGCAGAGTAAAGATCCCAGCCTTCACTATGCACCAACACCTGGTAACACCAGCTCTTAAAATCTAGCCATTTTGACAAAAAAAGAACCCAACATAAAACTATGGAGTGTGAATGAGAACACTGTGTAGGTTCATAATTGAAACAAATGTTCCAGGGTGATGAAGGTATTGATAATGGAGGTGGCTAGACATATATGGGGGGGGGGTCGAAAAACTGACTTCTTCTCATTTTGCTATGAATCCAAAACTTCCCTAAGAAATAAGTAAAAGTTCAAAGCCATTTTGACATAGACTATGGGTCTATGCACCCCAGACTGGCTTTGAACATGCAGTGATCTTCCTACCTGAGTGTTCTCCATGAAGGATCAATGGCATAAGCCACCACACCTAACACCTTGACAGGAGTTGGGACACGACTGTGTATTTGGTTTACTGCCAGACTAACTTCAAGCTCAGTTTGAAGCCACAGTTGGTATGAAACTTCCATTCTTCCTGCCTTTAGCTCTAGACACCTTACTTTCTGAAAGCTCCAGTTGTGTGTAAATACCTTTGCTTTCTCTTTAAAAAATCAAATGTGTTTGTCAGTTTTTATACTATGTACTTTGTATACATATATATGTATGTATTTGAAATTTTATGTATTAGTAGATGTATGTATATTTAGAGGATGAAAGTTTTGGACAGTTAAATCGATGATTATAAAAAGCCCATCTTTATATATTAAAAAATTCTTTATTATTATGTGTGTGATGTGTTTGGGTATGTGCCATGACAAATAAAGGTCAGAGGAAAACTCTGTGGGGTTGGTTTTCTTCTTCCACCTTTGTGTGGGTCCTGGGGATTAAATCAAGTTGTTAGGTTTGTGTGGCAAGTGCTTTATCCACTTAGCCATCTCTCCAGCAATTCTTTCTGTCCTGAAAATCTGCTCCTCTCTGTTGACGGTATTTTTATTTTTTATTTTTTGGATGTACAGAGAAAAATCAGCTGGGAACACAGACTGCCCATACAATTGGAAAAGACCTAGGAAAGCTATATTTCAGACAGGACTGGTATCTAGAATTTCAGAACTTCAGAAATTAAGTACCAAGGAAATAAAACTGACAGCCAACAAACTAGGCTAACAAATTCAATAGGAAGTTTTCACAAGAAGAAATGCAGGGGCTGAAGAGATAGCTCAACAGTTAAGAGACTTGGCTGCCTCTTCCAAAGTTCAACCCCCCAGCACCCACAGGGCAGATCACAACTGTTTGTAACTCCAGTTCCAGGGGATATGACACCTTCATACATATATGCAGGCAAAACACCAGCACACACAACATTTTTTAAAAATAAACACAAATGGCTAGTAACTATTTAGTAGGTATTCCGCATCTCTCATCACTGGGCAAATGCATATTAGAACTAACTTTGAGGTACTAGAGCAGCTGTCATCAAGAAAACCAACAAGAGGATGTGGGGAAAGAACTCTTTATTCATTGCAAACTAATAGATGTTATGGAAACCAGATTGGAGGTTCTTCAAAACATTAAAAGGCAGTAACACTGCACACCTTTAATCCCAGCACCTGGGAGGCAGATGCAGATGGATCTCTGAGTTCTAGACCAACCTGGTTTACAAAGTGCATCTAGGACAAAGAAACTGTCTCAAAAAACAAACAAAAACAAGAAAGCTCCTCAGCTCTCACATTCCTGGGCATATACCTGAGAACTATGCACTCTGCCACGGAGACACCTACATGTCCATGTCTACTTCCATGTACAGCAAGAAATGGAAACAGCCTAGACGTGTCAATAGATAAGCACATTATGAAAGCTGGCACAAACTATTTAGTTCTATTGAAAAAAAGAAATCACTCGGGAGGCAGAGGCAAGTGGATCTCTGTTAGCTCAAGGCCAGCCTAGTCTACAGAATAGTTCCAGGACAGCCAGGGCTACAAGAAACCCTGTCTCAAAAAAAGCAAAACAAGTAACACACACAATTTTCAGGAAAACAGAACGAACTGACAATGCAGTGTTGCATGAGAAAGTCCCAAACTTGGGGTGGGGGTGGGGGGGAGAGGAACCATCAAACTGTCGGCTATAGTTCTGAAGAACGCATAGCAGGTGAGCTAATGAATAAAACCAGCCTCCACCTGCTGCAAACAACAGTTAATAAAGCTGAGCCCATCTAGGTAGATGCTCAACCTTTACTCATAGGGACAAGTACACCTCTTTCAGCTTTGTGGGCAACATCATCCACTGCCTCCTTGGCTCCACTTTTTTTATTGAAAACTCCGTGGTATTTGCTTCAGGAAGGGGGTTGAAGGCACCATCAGGTTGATCAGACCCCAGGAGCTGACC